TAGTACTAGTACTAGTCGTAACAGTAGTAATAGCAATAGCAGTAGTAGTGGTAGCAGCAGTAGTAGTAGTGGCAGCAGCAGCAGTAGTAATGTTTCTACGAAACGGCTAGGGGAGCCGGCGTGGAGCGGGGCTGGCGGTGCGGGCACACTATGCGTAGGGCTCCAGTTGCTGGCACTGCAGCAGTAGCATTAAAAGTTGCTGCCTGCAGCCGGACTAGCGGGAGCGGGGGTGGGAGTAGGAGTAGCAGTAGCAGCAGTAGCCGTCGGCGTCGGAGAAGCGGTAGCAGCCAGCAGTAGCAGCAGCGCTGCATAGTTGAGCGAGGGGAAGCGCACTCTCGCCACCTATGCCTGGAACGGGAGAGCCCACAAAGCAATGCAATTCTTGGGTTCGAGAAGAGCTGTGGTTCGTCGAGTAAGCGGTCTAATGAGAAATCTTATTTTCCCGGCTCCTGGAGTCCCAAAAACTGTTCCCAAATCTTTGAGGCACTAAAACCATGAGCTGGACACAAGTATGAACAAACGTCTGCAGTGAACCAATCCTACCCCCACTTCCTCAGGACAAAAGCCACAATTACGCAAGACCAGGCGGTTGTTGCTCTTGCAATGATCTGCGAGCAGCTGCTAGGGGCTTGCCGGAAAGCCTGCGAGTCCGTCGCGAGATCTCGAGCGCCTTGCAAGTGCGCTTCCCTGGGGTATTCGTGCACACGGGACCAGAAGCCGGGCCAATAGTTTTGCAAGAATCGTGCTGTTTTCTACTGGTAGCCTGTGGCTTTGTCTTGTGCACGATGTAAACTTGGGCCCAAGCTCTGCATCTTTGGAGATGAAGTCCAAGTACCCCTCGTGAGCAGGACAGCTTTCCAGGCCAGGCTCACGCAAGATGCGACTCCAACATGCACGAACATTGCTTGCTCGCTGTCCCTCTCTTCAGCTCTGTCTTTTGTGACTGGTGGCGAGGGGGTAAGCTTGTGTAGCCTCAGCCAAGATCGAGAAATATAGTAGGCTGTGAAGCTTGCGATGGTGGAGGGCGTGAAAGAGCCACACATGTTGCATGATGTTGCAATTGGCGGCTTCTCTTTCGGGTCTCCGTCCGGCCGCTGGCTGTGGGAAAAGCTTCAGTACCAAGAAGCAAGTCAACAGAGAACACAGGTTATGCATTTTTTAAAGATTCTCTGGCTCTGAATGAGTAATCCAGATAGATAAGGACAAGGCGACTGGCTGCGCATGGGCAATTTGGAAGGGAATAGATGGGACTCGAACATATCAAGGATGCTGGACCCTTGCTTTTTAACAATCCTGCAATTCGAAGCCGCCTGCAGGGTGTGGACATCGTGTCTGTTGGGGTCGAAAATTCCGCGACCTGACGAAGACCGGCTTGACAGCTGCCGATGAATCACGGGGCAATCACGGGGATGTCCATGTCCAGTTGCCCTACACCCTATAGGCCCTAGGCAGCATGGAAAATCTTGATCAGCACGAGGGCACTGCAGGGGTAAGCACGACGACTACAGACATCTGCAAACTTTCATTCAGACACCCACCGCACACTGTGCACAACTGCTTTGCCTTTTCCTGCTCTTCCGCACTGGTGCTTTGTCGGAGCTGCAGGTTTGGGCTCTGGGCATGGCAGGCTTGGCGCTGCAATCCCGAGTTATGGCAGTGGATTCCTCGCAGGACGTTTCTCCATCCCGAGCAGTTGTAACTACTCCGGCAAAAGATGGCAATGCCCCGAATGTCAGGGAGCTTTCTTCACACTTCCTGTCGTCGCACTGGTTAGCAATGCTTGGGTTACAAGTCTTTGTGTTGCCTATTAGGCAATAGGCCCAATAAGTGCTGGGCCGGAAAATGTGCACATGGCTTGTTTGCGCTCGCGAAGGATCGTTGCAAAACCAATCCTGTGGCTCCTGCTGTTTGTGACGCTTTTGAGGGCTGGGAGAGTCTGTGGTAAGCCTGGTCTGTACAGGGCGGGCAAGGATTAACAACTGGGTTCCACATCAAAGTAAGAGGGCCTCTTTAGGTTTGCCGCATAATTACAGTACCAAGCCGTGCATCAACTTCGCCTCAAAAAGGCCTTAAAGTGCCCGTGGCTACAATAGTTCCAGCTAAGCTCGTTCGCATCAGACAAGACCCTGCAAGGGAGCGGCCCGTAATGTCAAAATGGTAAGGTAGAAGCATTGAGATGGAGTAGCGAACACATCCTTCGAAAGAAATCTTCATGTGCTTGGTCAGCATCTTCAATTGCGGCACGGGTTAATTTCGACCCGTTGCCGGCTTTCACGAGATGCACGTATCAGATGAAGTCAGTGCAGCAAGACTTCTTCGTCTGGCCTGCCCTCAAACCCCGTAGCAATGGCTCTGTTTCTGCTCGAAAGTCCTGCCGCCCGACGTGCACTAGTTTCAGGCAAAACGGCCTCCAGCCAGTGCCGAGAAGCAAGAGACGCCATCATGCGAGCTCTGAAAGCTTATGTTACTATTAATTACTGACAAATCGGCATCAGATGCACTGTGTGTGTCGCAGTGTCTCTGCCTTGTTCCAGCTCGCAATGCACAAAAGCGATCACTAAAGCAAAACTTGCAAGAATGAAGCTTGAAGCCCCGCGCTCCTTGAGTCAGGAAGAACAAACACTCCGCATACTCCGCCCCTTAGAATGCCTCCAGTACATGGTCACTTCCCTTCCAGCCGTGCGACTCAAGCAGCGAGCAAGAGTTTTGAAAACTCTGCACTCTCTGAGGGTCCCCCTTAGAGAGTGTCATGTTACACGGTCAATTTGAACCGTCCTAAATTATTTAATCAAAGCATAGAACGGAGGATCAGCGGCTTCCGGCTGTGTTTCGGCTCAGTTCGCAGCATTCGTAGAAAGACATGCGACACGTTTGTGCGGAAAGAGCAGCATACAAGGCACGTCTTGCAAAAAAAGCGTCCTGAGTGAGCATGAGAGCCTCGCAATGTGGAAACCCACATCTCACACGATTGATAGAAATACGGTAATCAGAGAAACTCATGATGACGAAACATGAAGGCTTTGACAGCCTGTGGGAACTCCAATGCCGTCGAGCTGATACGAAGCTACGAAATTGAACTGTCAGGCGAGATCACTTACCGCAGATGAAGTGATGTCGTTGAAGAAACTTGCTTCACCTATAAAAATCACGAGTCAATGTTGCACGGCGGCTCCTCATGATCCAGTGGCCAAATGCCGCGATCCTCCATGAAAGCTCGGGCTCTTCCCTGTCGTCCTCATGGCTGGGCAAAGTAGCAGTCGTCATCGAAATCTCGCGACCTTAGTAGGCAATGTCGAAGCTTCAAACGTAAGACTGTGCCCGCTTAAAGCGCCAAATCCTTTCAAGCACAGGGTCAACCGAGGGTTTCCCAGCGTGTCTATCAGCCTACACAGCATGCAAGATCTTGCAACGTATTCAAACTCCTGACGCTCTACAGCTGGCAGTCGCCAGTCGCTCCCATGAACTTCAGCTTCAACTGCGTCGAGAGCCAACCACTAAAAGCCCTAAACCTTTGACCTGTCGCAACAAGGATCTTTCCATGGCGGACCCCGGCCCGGTAGAGGCCGAACGCCGTGCTCATCAGCACGATCCTGCTAGGAGAAGTGCTCCGCTTGAAAAAACAATCAAAGTCAGCAGTGAATCCGTTTCAGGCCCCTTGCGGCCCGTTGCAGCATCTGACCAATCCACAAGGAGCTCTGACGCTGCACACGCCTGTGACTTCATGCAGGCCAGGCACAGGAACATTGCCATCTCCACGCCGATAGATGGGCCCAACTGGAAGGCACGGAAGATCTCGCTGGATCGTGCCTCTCAATCTACTGGCATGTTTACGTACATCTTCCATGCACAAGGTCCCGGCCCAGGCATGCTAGCTTGGCACCAGGTATTTCCTCCATCTAGATGCATTCTTGCAAGCCTGTGCATGCACATCTACGCACATGTTCAATCAAGCAAGTGGCAGCACGCAGCTGCTCCCTTCGACGATAGTGAACACCCTCACAACTCCACTCCGACAATCACCAAGATCACTGGCTGCGAGCTCTAGACTGGGACTCTTGGCTCCAAGCCCGGCCTTTGCTTTTTCCGCCTCCAGTTCTTGTTGCAAGGATGCGAGCTGCAATTTGAGCTTGGGCACTTCGTCCAACTCTGCCAGAGTTTCATCCTTGACAACAGGGCTGGCCCGTCCGCAACCCAGAAGCAGGCACGGCCACATGCATATCATGCCATCTGCACCAAAAGACTCCACGTGTAGGCTAACGCGCGCCTTAATGACCATGGGGTTGTGGCAGGTTTTTGCGGGTTTAAGGCTTCCCTGCTTCGGGAGGTGGCGTGGGGTGGGGTGGGCTGGGCTGGGGTGGCGGGGGTAATGACGTCCACTTCGCAAGCATCCCAATGAACATCATCAATATGCAGGCCATCATCATCATCATCATCATCATATATCATCATCATCATCATCATCATCATCGTGCTTCAATGCAGAAAACCCTGGTGAGAACAGTACGGTCACATCATCACCATCATCATCACCATCACCATCACCATCACCATCACCATCACCATCACCATCATCATCATCACAACCATCATCATCGTCATCATCATCACCGTCATAATCATCGCTTGTCCTTTGTGTTCCGCTTCAATACTCCAAAGCAGCTGTCGACGGACCTTAGTCGCATGGCAGACGCCAAGAACAAGAAGAGAGTTGTGAAAAAGAGGTCGGCTGCACAATTCGCATTCGCAAGGTTAGAAATCCCCCACTGGGGGCAGTGTTATTTTCGTGCTTCGAGTACTTTCTAAGCATCCAAAACAAACATTGTGGTCACAAAACTGCACACACAACCCCAAGTTTACCCCGTTTTTGCAAATCTTACGCACCCATGGACCGAGCCAAAACCCCGTGGTCATTAAGGCGCGCGTTACCAAGTTTAGCCATACAAGCAGGACGTCTGGCCGGGCTTATTAACGAGGCCGAGATTCAGTGACGTTCCGCCCCGTATTGGGCCCCTTTGGCGTAAAAGCGGTGTATCCAACCTGACCCAGGCAGCGAAGATGTTCAATCGCTTTGGCAAGAATGTTGGCCGAATCAGCACTTCATTACAGCGCACCGCTTTGCTCTGCGCGCTGACAGTAGGAAGCCCTCCGACCTCTGGGTTCCGCAGCCACCAGGCAGGATAGACTTGGCCAAGGGCGCCGGTCTCCGACTCGTTGAACGTGACGCTGTACCGCCCGTACCTTTGCAAGATCGGACAGGCATTGATGCACACGCAACAAAACGAAATACCTGTGCTTGAGTAACGACCCAATCTCCGGCAATCTTGCCTGAAGCTTGCCAAAATGCACAGATCAGTGCCACTGAGTCAAGTCCCCCACATGACATGGGCAGGCTTTTCGGCATCCTGCCATGCAATAGCTCAGCTCAGTGACTTCGCGATCAGCATCCAAGCAAAGTCCCACCACTGGGCAACCACCTCGTGCCCAAGCACTCCAAGATTTCCGGAACAAAGGATTTTCCAGTTGTTGATTCAGTCACACTTAGAAGACTTAGCTAACTGTGATGTCCGGTAGGGTCTGCGGAAACCATGCCGTCCAACGGTCAAAAACCAAAGAACAACTCAAACCTTGCTGCAAAATCACACGCACGGTTTGCTCGAGAGTCAGGTCTGCACCGAAGCTTAGAGTGCCTAAACATGCCATCACCTGCTTGATTTGTGCTTCCCAACATACTCTGCGAGGTTACAATCGCGAGACTTGGCCTCGCTCGCGAACTCGTTGCTCTTCTTCGTCAGGTGCATTGCAGCAGCCGCTGGGCCATCGCGACCGGATGAAGCCATCTTTGCAGCATCATCCTGACAATACAAACAGGCACCATGGCCATCGTCATCGCCATCATCGCTAGCAGGATCTAGCATGCTTTCATCGCCGGCCACCACGGCCCTTCCGTGATCGCCATGGCCAGCCTGACCGCACCACGGCACTCGGTACCAGACGTGGCACGCCATCACCGTAGCCGGTCGTAGCCACCAGCGCCATCGTCATCAGCATGAACCTTATCGCAACCTGTGGTGATCTTCCTCGTCAGTGCTTCAAACGTCATCTGGGCATTCCTATCTACTTATCCACTCCTTGCCGGTATTGCTGGCGTAATGATTAGGCTTCTGCTGCTTGTGAACTGCTGCTGTCTTTCCTTCTTTCTTTCTGCAGGTGTGGGTAGGGCGGTAGGGCGAGCTTACCCCGCCCTCCGGCGGGAAGGTACAATCACCTCCGGCGTCCCTCCCAATCAATTATCACTCACTGCCCCATGTACAGAAAGCACGCATAAGGCACTTAGACGAAGAAGCACACAACTTGACC